TTCAGTACAAATCGGCAATTTCATACTTTAACCCCTATTATTACAAAAAGAACTGACAATTATAGTTCATATTAAAGATGAATTAATTGATATTCAAGGCAATTTTCATAATATAAACTACTTCGAGGCTATTTATCAGCGCCATCTACATGTAAGACAGGATTTTGACCTTTTTCAGAGTTACGATCTGCAGTATAGAGACAAAATTAAATCTTGAGCGAGCGCGTATGGACAAATACCTTGGAGCTTGGGTGAGTGAAGAATGGGAGTGCGAACAGGCGATTCGAACCCGAATAGAAATTGCTCGAGCTACATTGAAGAGGATGGACAAAGTTTTGTGCAGCCGCAAACTATCAACAAAGCTCCGAGTGAGGTTGCTCCACTGCTACGTCTAGCCTGTAGTGTTGTACAGTAGCGAAGCCTGGACTCTAAAAGCCGACACCCAGAGGCGTCTTGTGGCCTTCGAGATGTGGTGCTACCGTAGAATGCTACGCATTAGCTGGACTCAGAAAGTGCGTTGGGAGGGACCGAGAACTCTTGCAGACCGTCAAGAAAAGGAAAGTTGCGTATCTTGGACACGTTCTACGGCATGAAAAGTACCAACTGATAATGATGGGCAAGATCGAGGGTAAACGACGTACTGGAAGAAGGAAGAAGTCGTGGTTGCGCAACTTCCGGGAATGGACCAATATTGCCAGCATAGAAAATCTGTTTCGCTTGGCCCAGGACAGGGAAGAGCTCTCCAAGCTGACGGCCAGCTTCCAGTAGTGGAGAGGCACTACATGATGATGTATGGCGATTACCAATCCTCTCGAGTTGATCCAATATATGACATATTGTCATTAATCAGGTAAATAATGTATTAAGTACTGATTATTTAAGAATGTCACTATTTCTTCTTTAAAAACATTTTGAATATTATCTAAATGGAAGTGAAAGTGACGCTGAAGTTAGCCAATCTATCACCTTCACCTCCAATTTGCGTATACTTCTTACGTATCGACTGTGAATTGGCAACCGGTACTATTTAAATTTTGACTACTTTACAGGTAAAGAAAAAAAAATAAAAATACGTAGTGTACATACATACATGTGTAATAAAAATATTTAAAAATACGTATTTTTTAAATAAACCAGATGCTATATCGACCCCTCCGACGTAAAGCATCGTATGTCGAAATTGCCAAGTTTACAGGGAACCGTTTTAAAGTTATGAATTCACTGAAACGAACATAACACGTGACTTTACGTATTATAAAATCCTAGATATCGGTTAGATGATCTATTAGATGATCACTGTATGTGAGTAACGAGCTTTGCCAAATAAAACGGAGAACTTTAAAACGCTCCCCTGTAAACTTGGCAATTTCGACATACGATACTTTACGTCGGAGGAGTCGTATAAATGGCGCAAACAATTTTTTTCTTCATCCTGTAAAATTGTCAAAATTGAGATAGTACCGATTGACAGTTCACAATACTTCTTACATATGACATTTTCAGCGTACTGTGACATAATTAGCTATGAAAATTAACGTTTACATAAAATAAGAACGCATGAATATTTCTATATTACAGCTTGCATTGTATTTCAATTTGATGCTAACGATTATAATTGTGTAGGCATCATTCAGCATCGTAATTCCCATTAAAGTAGTCCTAGGCTGAGAACGTTCTTAAAATCTATTAACGGATGTTTCGTATTGAAGTAAACTGACGCAAATGTCACTAGCCTTTTCGGAACGTAGCCTTTTTAATAAATTGACTGCTTCTAAACCGTCTTCTTCTCTAGCATTTTGTTGTAGCTCTGAAAACAAAATTACAAAATATTATTATTATTTGCAATATCAAGTGACGGGCCGAACAAGTTGTGCGCCTGAGCTTGTCCATAACAGTTGCAAGTGCCATTCAGAGCTTTAAATAGCAAAAGATGTGACGAGCATTACCACTGCGCCTGTCACCCTGAGACATAAATTGACAAGTGGGACTACTTGTGTACAGTGCTTCTATTTTCTTAATGTCCGTCGGCAAACTTCGTCTGTCGTCGGGTTTTATTCAGTTGCCTTTGGTACAGACTGGACGCTTTCAGTCGACTAGGAAGTATATAGATTTGCTATTACATTTTTTAGTTATTATACAATGGGAGGAACGCCGCTAAAGTCACAGGCACGATAGTAATTTACAGCGTGATTATTCCATCGATGGCAAACATATTAACATAGCTACGTCAGAAAGAAATGCATTCGGATACGGACAGAATTGAAATGATTAATAACCGGAAAAATATTCATTTTTAGTTACATAAAAGAGGCACACTTCAGTCAATTTCTATTTTTGTTAACTTGCTTATTGACATGGAAGTAAATGTTATTAAAAATAGGGAAATAGTTTTGCAGGTATCTAATGTACGTTGTCAAATTATTATAAATTTTAAATATAATAATTAATGGGCATGGAAATTAAAATGCGTGTGCATTCGGAAATCCGATGATTGCCGAGTAAAATTGAGAAAATAGAAGCACTGTATGTGTCTGTAATTACAATTTTTTTATTAACTGTCATTCTCTTTTCCCTGTTGTTCAATCATTTTAAATCTCGTTTTATTCTAAATTGCTTTCAATTATATATTCTTTTTAATAATTCACGCTAAATAAAACTTCCAAAAATATATCTAAGCGTAAAACATAATATGAGGTTTTCAAATTATTATTTTCCAATTTTTCACAAATTTTTCCGGAGTAATCTCCACTATTATAAATTTTTCGAAAAATTACCCAACAGTACACATTCCAATGATGGGAGATATATTTGGTAGGTTTACAAAATTGTCGATCTGGTTGTGTGAATAATAACAATAAAACTCATAGCCTCGCACTAGGGTGACCCTGTACAGCTGGTGCCACGGACACATACATAGATAACCACAAATTCCTCGAACACACGAGAGAAATAAAAATAGGCAATTCAAATGTTTCTCCGGGCCCGGGAATCAAACCCGGGACTTCTCCGTGGCCGTTGAGGCAGGTAGAGATAACGTCGCCTTCCTTTGTCAAACTCGAATCTTAAAAAACAAAGTAACTGAAATGCAAAAAATGCATTGTATATACATATTTACAGGATGATTTCATGACGCTGGCTTTTACCTATTCTTAAAGTAATGCATCCAAATTAACACCCTTGATAAGAAAAATAAATATAAAGTTTTGTCATATCCTGAATAATCTATCTTTATAAGATACGAGTTTGAGAAAGGAAGGCCTCGGCAAGTACTATAGCGTGTAACCCCATCTAGTGCGCCCGAAGCGTACTCGAAAGCGTCCTACCCAGTATCGCGATGACCACCCATTCTCGAATAGAGATGGGAAAAAATGCTCGTTTTTGACGTTAAAACGGGCTTTTTAAAAAAGCTTTTCACTTTAATGGACCTCTCTCACGTAAAGTACCGTATGTCCAAATTACCAAGTTTACGGGGGAGCGTTTTAAAGTTTTGAATTCACTGAATTAAGCATAAAACTGTTTTATTAGGCAGTAGTCGTTACTCACATAGAGTATTATAAAATCCTAGATATCGGTTAGATGAACAACCACAATTTATTTTATCATTTTACAATCTATTAGTCACGTGTCGTGCTCATTTCAGTTAATTCAAAACTTTAAAACGCTCCCCTGTAAACTTGGCAATTTCGACATATGATACTTTACGTAAGAGATGTCGTAATGCTTTTTAATTTGAACCTTACAAAATCGTTTAGAAACACGTTTAAGCGCGTAGATATTTATGTTAAAAAAAGCCTGTAACGTTGTGTTGATATCGAAACGCAAGAGTAGACCACTAAAGGTTTCAAGATAAGTAAGTTTATTTGTAAAACTCGAGATTTATTTTTATTTATAAAATTATTCTCCACATTGACGAATTAATTTGTTTAGGAAACATAGATGGCAGAACTTGAAACATAAGTACGTTGTTAACGCTTACGTTTACATTGAAACCATGCCAAAGCGTTTATTTTAAAAAGAAAACTTTTTTAAAGTGATTTTCATTTAAATGCCCACCTCTATCCTCGAGTGACTAGATTAGTCTTTCCGAGTGTAGATGGCGCTTCTCGCCATCGACCCTGTTTTGTCAAAATATCACTTTTTCATGACCAAATATGGTAATAACGAAACGACTGTAACTTGTGACATGCGTGATCACCGACCCGCACTCTGGCGCACCCCAGTTAAAAAATAAAAATAATCTTTATTTCAAAGGTAAGCATTATTACACTTGAAATCGTCACATTGGTTGAACTGTACCGCTCATTCGTAAGGCAGATTTCCCTGATAACAATGAGCAAGAAACTCTAGGGGTTGCTCTTTGTAAATAACACTTGTACACATTCAACATTTGCAATATAGTTTTTTGCTTTCGAACATCAGATATCGAGACTATCTCCATGAGCTAAACAGGTTACTACCACGGATTTTTGTCATCCAAGTGCGCAGAAGTTGTATAATACCCTTTAGTATAAAGTTTTTGTTTCACTATAGTTTTAAACCTCGGGAATGGTAAATTCTGAATATCAACCGGAATCTTGTTATAGAAGCGTATACAATGCCCCTTAAATGAATTTGTGAAGACGACTATCAAGAACAGCTAGTTTATTTTTATTCCTCGTATTAACGTTATGTCTGTCACTATAGTTAGTATTCGAGAGTCCGCGTTTAACACTGGTTCGATGGCCGTTTTGGCAGATTACAATATAATTAGGTCAAATCTGAATTCATTATCGAAAAAAATATAATCAAATGCGATTCGCATATGTAAGTTTTTAGATTTAAAACTAGTATTGCAAGGGGTAGCTGATTATAAAGTTTTAATAAAACGAAACTAAAAACGTGGCCAGCGATCCTATAAGTGACGATCGTGTTAGATTTCGAAAAACAAATGCGGAGTTGTGTAGTAAAATTATAAATTCTATAAATTTTACTGCAAGTCACTATTCACTACAATGTACAGCAATTAGCTCCTTCAACGTAGTTATGAATTAATACGAAACTTGATTGACGGACAAACGTCAAAACGGCCATCGCTTGAGTTCCTGTTTTAAGTATTTACTTACGTCGCAGTTCCCGTGATGTAAATCAGTGCATCGTTTTTATATATAATAAATACAGATAAGAGCGCTACCCACTGCCTTATTATTATTATTATTTTATAATATCAAGTGACGGGACGGACGCCTGATGATAAGCTACACGCCTGTCCATGACAGTTGAAGTGCCACGCAGAGCTTTAAATTACAAAGATCTCAGGGGCACTACCACAGCGCCCGTCACTCTGAGACATAAGTTGGCAAGTCGCATGTGCCTGTAATTTCACCAGCACCCTTACCCTTCCAAACCGGAACGCAGTAATGCTCACATTACTGCTTGGCGGCAGAAATAGGTAATGTGGCAGTACTTCCCTGGACGAACTCTTTCTTTCTAGGAGCTCTACTGTTACTAAAATATGATTTAACCTGGTAATAGTATTTTTACTAATATAATTTACCTCCTCAGCCATTTGGTGCAGAATCCTGGCTGTTTCTGGGCCAGTTTGTTCGACGAGTGTCTTGAATATTCCAGTGCCGGCTGGCTCTGGCTCGCTCATTTCTGATCTATATACAAAAAAAGACTTGATTTAGTGAAGTGTTTTCACAAAATAATAATATGAATATCGTGGTTGTAAAAATATCATGATATTCGACAAAACAAATAATGCAATTAATATAGCGACATCTCTTGTCGGTTAGCTGTAAAGGCTGAGTGAAGAAACTTTCATAATGTCGACTAAACACGTAAACCTCCTTTAGTGTGAACTTGAAAACAGAAAAAAAACCAAAGGTTTTATTGATTATTTTTGTGAAGTAACTACACTAGTTTTGTTATTACTCATCAGATATATCATTATAAGATCATATCACATCAAGGTCAGATACATAAAAAAGCGGCGACGAAATCCGAAAGCCAGTACAAAGGTTTATAACAAAAACACATAGGAGAATTTCGATAGCTCGGTAACTTGACCTGTGGCTCAGTTGGTAGGAGCAATGCTACGGTGCAGCATGGTCGTGTTAATAATCATAGAAAAAACAGAATTTCTAGAAATAATTATATGAGAAACTAGGATTATACCCTTATTTTATAACGAAAAAAGGGTCTAGAATTTATATTTTAATCTTTAATTGCCCGATATTGCGTTTAAAGAGTAAGTAAATAAGAGATTTCGTGCAGAAATGGAGTTACGACGTTTTCAAATTTAGGAGACGGCGTTTCTCACAAAGTTTCTCAAAAACTTATCGAATAATAAGTTAGTTCGTAGAGTCTAAACATCGCTCCGGAAAATTTTGCAGATGTGGCCTTTTTAGGATGCACATAACGTTGTAAGTGGAGTTTCCAGGAAGTATTAGGTGCTATTGTGGCCCTATGCTCTAAAATCTAGACCATAGGGTCCCAAACTTTTGAGCTCACCACTTAGGTAAGATAAAAAAATGTCGACCCCCACCACCAAAAAAAAATTTAAATCACGTATTTTTATATTAACTTACACAAGAAATCACAACAAAAAAAAATATTTATATAGATAATTCAGGGTTTTCAAATGCGGTAGCACACCCTGGACACTTCCCTAGGGCACTTCAGCGTCCACTGGGAGGCGGTAGGGACCACTTTAGAAAACTATGGTCTAGACCTAAGTGAAGAAGTGACACCCACCTATTGGAGTACGTTCTTATTCTGTCTCGTGACAAAACAAGGGTCTCATTATGGTCCTCTGTTCTTGATCCGGACTCTATGTTGAAGCTATCTGGTGTTGCCAAAGGAGCCTGAAAAGGTTAATATAAAAAATATTTAAACCGTTCTTTAAATTTAATTGCACACAACACTTCACTTCAGACCTCTGAGTACTGAGCCGACTCAGGCGAGATGCAACCTTTGGCGTGAAAGAGTATAACCATCTACGTTTGTCCCGCCTTGTGAGAGTCTTCGTCCTGGACACGAATTGCCACGGCCGATCTGGACGTCTTTGAATAGGCTTCGGACTCAGGTTGGTCGAAGCAAGGGCAATTTGTTCAGGTGGGGATTTTCGGATGGTTCTAACCTGGACCTCGATCCAGAACTCTTCGATTTTTTCAGTGAATCGTTCGATTGAATATCGTTCTCGAATCGAAAGGTGCTTCCCGATCTATTCTGAACGTTCGAGTTAAACGATCGATTCGGATACGATATCGTTATCCATCATCGTTTACGGAGTTAGTCGGTGAAATAAATTATAAGATAAATGAAAATTCTTATACATACATTTTTTAAGACTTTAAAGACCAAAAATATACGAATGCATTAAGTCTTGCATTAAAATAAATTAATAAAATTAAACAAAATCCAGATTTTATTTACAAATAATAAGATTTCCATAGTACATTCTTGCTTTGTAAACAATAGGACGTTCGGTAACTGTGTTCTGAAGAACGTTTGCAATCTATGCCGATCGAGAAGTTCGAGTAATCGTACGGGTGTGACGTCATTTCGGTTCGGTTTCGAAAACGTCAGTTTGACGTTCGATTCGGGTGTTGTGAATAAAAAATGTACGATATCAAATCGAATTCGTCGACAACTGAATTATCGTAAGGTTCTAAATCGACCCTAGATTCGATACCCGGATTGGGAGAAATATTTATATGGCCCACATTTATTTCTCTCATGAGTTTTGGTGTAATTTGTAATTGTTTCGGACAGAGAACGAGAGTACAGGGCCCGTGAAAACCATTACGATATTTTTTTGATTTGAGTCTATTATACTCTTGAAATGTAAAGAATCGAAGATATTCAATTATTTTACACTAACCTGACTCTTGGACAGAACGGTCGCGGATCGTTTGACCTGGTCAGATTTCGGCTGTGTGAGAAGCTCGTACGGATGACCACTTTCGGCTATGCGGCCTCTGAAATCATTTTCAAAAGGAAATTCAAAATAAATTTAGTAAAATATACATAGGAAATGAAACTATTTTTCTGGATTTAAATCGCGTATGTATCGACCCCTCCGGCGTAAAGCATCGTATGTCGAAATTGCCAAGTTTACAGGTAAGCGTTTTAAATTTCTGAATTCACAGCAATGAACATAACACGTGACTTTACGTATTATAAAATCCTAGATATCGGTTAGATGATCTATTAGATGATCACTGTATGTGAGTAACGAGCTTTGCCAAATAAAACGGAGAACTTTAAAACGCTCCCCTGCAAACTTGGCAATTTCGACATACGATACTTTACGTAGAAGGAGTCGTATAAATGGCGCAAACAATTTTTTCTTCATCCTGTAAAGTTGTCAAAATTGAGATAGTACCGATTGCCAGTTCACAATACTTCTTACATATGACATTTTCAGAGTACTGTGACATAATTAACTATGAAAATTAACGTTTACATAAAATAAAAACGCATGAATATTTCTATATTACAGCTTGTATTGTTTTTTAATTTGATGCCAACTATTAGATCAGTTTTATTCGGCAAAGCTCGTTACGCACATAGAGTATTAGAAAATCCTAGATATCGGTTAGATGATATATCACTCTTTCAGTGAATTCAGAACTTTAAAACGCTCCCCTGTAAACTTGGCAATTTTGACATAAGACACTTTACGTAGGAGGGGTCGATTTGTTTCTTCAAACAAACCAACGTTTTGGGCCTTTTACTGGTCCCATGGTCACAACCGTGACCGTGGGACCTGTAACGAGTATAAAAGCTTTTTATCTTGATGTAGAAAATCTGTAGTGCGATAATGTAATGAAAAAGCCCGTGGGCATAATTTAGGACATTACGGTCGACTTTGCCTGTGTACGAGCAAGTGTGATGAAAATTAATTTGTGATTATGTAACAATAACTCACTTGTCCATAACAATGACTCGGTCGTAATCCATAACGGTGTTGAGTCTATGCGCGATCGTGAGCACCGTGGAATCGGCGAATTTGTTGCGAATTGTTTGCTGGATATGCTTGTCAGTTCTAAAAAGAGAAAACATCTTGTTTATGATACCTTGATACCTATACAGGATGATTTTTAATCGACTTATTAAAAAGGAGGAGGTTCTCAATTAGACTGTATTTTTTGTACGTTGTATGTTACGCAATTACGCCGGCATTTGTGAACTGATTCTGATATTTTTTTTTGTTGGAGAGTAGTAAATTTGAAGAAAATATTCCACCTCTAAGGGTGGCAAACTAGGGGATGAATCCGGTTTCGCGCACTTTTCGGTAACCGATTGCAATAAAACTTGGCAAATCGATGTAAATCCACGCACTTTTGAGGTCTTTTTTTTAATATAAAAAGTTAATAAAATACTAACAGCCTTGCAGGGGTTGATTAATAACATCATAAACAACAACTTTTGTTCCGTGCCATTAAATGATACGTAAGATTTTACTTTCATACAAATATAAAAATGATTAAATAGATTACTCTAAAGCATTGACTTACAATTATATGGACGTCGGGTCCGCGCTAAAAAGTGTCCGAACTTATAGGGCGTTAAAATCGTATACAGAGCGTCATTCACGCTTTAGTCTTCGTTTGTTCGACTGACAGCGAAGCAAGCAAAATTAGACAGTACTGCGATGACATTACAATTTAAATGTAACGTTTTAGCTTTTTCATATTCCTTTACATGTCACTACGTTTAAATAGGTTGACTTGGGACATTTTTTTCGTGGTTTGTGTATTAGACCCGTCGTCCATTTATTTGTAAGTCAATGCTCTAAACGGTGATAAGGGCTCATCAGAGCCCTCTTTTGATAATAGACCTATACCTAGCAGTAAACCATATATTTGAGCCTACTTACTCAGTATCAACATTGGCTGTCGCTTCATCCAAGATAAGAACTTTACAGCCCGCTAGCGCCGCTCGAGCAAGGCAGACCAGTTGGCGTTGACCAGATGATAGATTGCCGCCACCGTCACCCACTTTGGTGCTTAATCCCGCTGGAAGGTTAGCTACCATATCTCGGAGTTCTACCTGTACACCAAATTTTTTTTTGTTTTTAAACTTTTAATTTAGTAATTGACACTTTTAAGATTGTAAATGACACTTTTGTGCTGTAAGCAACACTTTGTCGGGTTAAGTGCCACATAATCAATAAGTGTAATTATAGCATCGAACAACACTGGCCGAGTGACCTGACACGTAATCACAACCTTTATAGCTAATATGCTAAAGTTAATTTTTTCCATTGGGTATTACACTTTTAGCGCATAAGTTACACTTTGGGGCTGTAAGAGACATATTTAAAGTATACACTTTGGGATTATAAGTGACACATTCAAAGTTTACACTTTGGGGTTATATTATAAGTGACACATTTAAAGTATACACTTTGGGTTGTAAGTGACACATTAAAACTTTTAATGCTATACGTCTATATTATGTTACCTGTTCTAAAGCTGCATATATCTGTGCATCACTATATTTGTTCTCCGGGTCGAGATTTTCCCTTAATGAAGCAGCAAACAACGCAGGCCGTTGCGGCAAGGCGCACAACCGCGACCGCCATGCGGGCAGCCCAGTTTCGTCCGCGCATAACTCGTCTACTGTTATTTTACCTGTTATTTTGCTTAATCTGTAAATAAGCAACCAAATATGTAACTAATTATGAATCCGAAAAATGACGGTACGAAATGTCACAGGGATCACTTTATCTCTAGGTGTACAAGCGATTTGTATTTTCTCGGATTCGAATCTCGGATTTAGTGCACGACATCCGAAGTAGGTCCGAGTTTTTTAGATTTGTGTAGTCTCAGTCAGTGCACAAACGGCTTGAGGTTAAAAGTGCTTGTTCGTCTCTTCGATTCTTCATTTCCGCCACTACTATAATACATATTATGTATACTTTGATGTATATACACTGGGCCTTTGGAGGAATGAAATGAAAATGTATATTTGTGCGCTTTTGCGGTATCAAACAATTTGGTGTATGGTAAATACATGGTCATATATCACATATATTTGTCCACCATAAAAATTACTATAAATTGTGGTTTTCATTATTAGATTAAAATCTATTATTATGTCAAAGTATTTAAATTATTGATCCACGCTATGGATCTTACTTGGTGCAACAAATTTCGTTGACCATTCAGCGCGGTAATGCCGTCAGTGTTATGGGGACATTTGAACTAGCCAAGATTCAGAGCGGTCCTTTATCATTGTAATAGTTGGATAAAAATGGTCAAGTATGACGAATTGCATTATTAATTTTTACGTGACGATGCCTGTTGCAGGTTTACATTTGTGTCTTCCTAACGAAGCCTGCGTTGTGGATTGACATATGTATTTAATTTAGTTTTTAAATGAATAGTTTTTTTTATAACGCGCACACACTGAGAAACCCTGTATCACGGGTGCCATGGACACACACATAGACAATCACAAATTACACCCAAACTCACGAGAGAAATAACTGTAGGCCATACAGTTATTTCTCGCATACGTATGTCAGTCACTCGGCTAGGGCCCATTGAAAACCAGCGTCACAGCTTAGTCTTGGTTGTGAGCTGAGCTGAATGGGATCCTTTTGCATACGCCACAGCCGCCAATTGTAATACAATAGAATTAGTAGATAACTTTAAGTATTTGGGGTTAAGAATAGATAGCAAATTTTCATGGAAGTTGCATGTGGAGAATGTCTGTTCTAAATTTAGACTGACTTTAGGTAAATTCAACTTAAATTTATTGTCAAAAATGGCTACTTTATATGCTGTGTATTACGCGCTTCCTGAATCTTTGCGTGTACGTTTATAGCTTATTTAGAACAAATTAAGCAACTACAAATAAGGTACTTGAAATTGTTGGTGAATAAAAATGTAACGGAAAAATGTGGCCAAAACTATGTGAAATTATTCTCGATTTGTAATGTATTGCCAGTTCAAGAAAAATTCAAACTATTATTAGCTTTGGAAGAATACAGAAGGCATGAGTTTAAGAATTGTGCTGAACATTCTATAACTGTTAACAATAAAGAATATATTGCACCTAGAACTACAAATTACTTTGGTCAAAGAACTAGAATTTACTTAATACCTGTCATATATAATGATGTCAATGTTGACGAAAATAATTTATCTAAATTAAATTTTAATAAGAATGCGAAAACGAAATTGTTATCACAAATCCCAGATGACTACGCTTTGCACTATTGCTTCTGATATATCTATGCGAGTGTAATTTATGACATATATCACCATAAGCAATATATATATGTGTGTATATATATATATATATATATATTGCTTTTATATATATATATATATATATATACATATATATTGCTTATGGTGAAAGTGTGTCCCCGCGTGGTTCCTATTCTTTTCTATTACTTATATATTTATGATTTTATAACTCACCTGAATAGTGCAGCTATTAGACTGCTCTTTCCAGCCCCGGTTCTTCCAACTACGGCTACCTTTTCAGCGGGACGAACACCAAAACTGACCCCTTTTATAGCAAACGTAGATTCTTTCAATTCTGTAGTGACCGGCCCTGTAATAGGGTTGGGAATTGGTTGGTCTTTCCTGGGCGGTTTCTCGTATTCCAGGGACACGTCTTCGAATATAATTTCACCTGAAATTAAAAAATAATTAAGCCACAACTTTCAAGAAGCGGTTAGCGGATTGAAGCCTTACAAACGTCATGATGAATATTATAAAATAAATCTGGCAAGTTTTCATGTAAGTAGGTGTTACGTACAAATATTTGGGGACTTCGAGTAAATGAAGCATGGGAATCTGACCAGGGAATCAAGACCCAGTTAGAAATTGCTCGAAACTCTTTTAACAAAATAAGGAAAGTTCTGTGCTGTCGTAAACGGATGTGCAGGGAAAGAGAGGCGCTGGGCGAAAAAAGAAATCGTGGCTGCGGAAAATCCGGGAGTCGACCTCCGCTGCGGAAAATCAGACAATGCCTCCGCAGAACAGCTGTTCCAATTAGCTGCTGATATGGACAAATACCGGAACCTGACGGCCAACCTTCGGGATTGAAGAGATAAAAATACAATAGTATATTAACTCAAAAAGTGTATTTTCTCAGAACCGACGAAAAACGAATTACTCGCTTCCCTTGAAAGATCTGTGTAAATTTATGTATAGGTTATTTCCTACCTGCCAAAAATATACATATTTAAAAATAAAAAATAAAAAATTATTTCATATTTTAGAACAAGGACTATTTTAGCCAGAACTAGCTCACATAAAGCATGTCTCATTTTGAGTTAAGTAGTTAAGTAGACATCTATTATTTGTTTTTTACAATATTCTAACCATTGACTTACAATTATATGGACGTCGGGTCCGCGCCAAAAAGTGTCCGAACTTATAGAGCGTTAAAATCGTATACGTCATTCACGCTTTAGTCTTCGTTTGTTTCTTCTGACAGCGAAGCAAGCAAAATTAGACAGTACTGCGATGACATTACAATCTAAATTCAACGTTTTAGCTTTTTCATATTCCTTTACATGTCACTACGTTTAAATAGGTTGACTTGGGACATTTTTTCGTGGTTTTTGTATTAGACCCGTCGTCCATTTATTTGTAAGTCAATGATTCTAACGATTGTTTTATTGACCTGTAGAGAAACAAATTTTACGTTCAACAATGGTATAATCTTGAATTTCACATATTTTGAGTTATAACACTATTGTAATAGTAGTGCGATATATTAGTAAGTCTGGGAGTTCAGGAATTGTTCTTTTTTCAATAATTACCTTTAGTAGGCCACTTCGGAAAGTCCACATTAGGATGATTCTGCTTTAACGCTAATTCATTCACGTCCACTGGTTTTTCTGCAGGTAGATTTGTGTATTCTAATATTCTTTCCACCTGAAAGTATCATACAGTTTTATCACCGTTACCATCATTATCATGAACTCATTCAGACCCATAGTCCCGCTTGCCCAATGTAAATTGGGACTTCGCACGTTTTCCGAGGGTCAAACCGAGAGATGCGAACCCGCGGCCAAACTTTTTGTTATGAAATTGTATTTCATTATAATTAGACATGGCAATAAAACAGAGAAGTAAAAATACCGACCTCAAAACCATTCATCTCCTGGTTTGCCACGCTTAGAAGTGGAATATTGTCTTCAAATTTAAATAGAACCACATATGAGGTAACAAAGAATCATTAGAATCGGTTCACAAATGCTGGAGTTATCGCGTAACATACATACAAAAACTCCTTTTTTTGAAGTCGGTTAAAAACAGCTGTTTGTATATAATTAATTACACTGATGACTGTATGACTTTCGTAGATTTTTCGCAGATGGCGCTACAGCAAAAAGTCGTTAAAAAACCAAAATGAAAGATTTTCAATGGGCACATGGAAAAATTTCATGAGATATGTAACGAGACCGGTAGCTCAGTTGGTAAAGAGCAATGCTACGGTGCAGCAAAGACGCAGTTTCAAGTTCCACTGGGTCGACGAAATTTTTCTGTATTTGATCATAATCATAACAAAAACTAGTGGAGTTATGTTACAATATAATTTCAATAAATAAGGTATTTTTAAATTTTTATTGAATTGATATTCAATTATTTTTATGTGAAATTACTCCACTAGTTTGCTATAATTATTAATTCGAACCGATGTCTTCTAGCATACTGTGGCAGACGCTATACCAACTAAGCCACGGAACGAAACACCGGACCTCACGAATTTTTCCATGTGCTTGCGTCGTATCTTTTGTATTTGGTTTTTCAACGACTTTTTAGCCGTAGCGCCATCAAAATTAAAGTCAAAGTCGCATAATCATTTATTCCATTGATAAATTTTTTACACTCGAAAACGTCATTTCTTTAAGCTACTTTTTAAGCTACTGCTCGTTCACTACGCTGACCTCTCTGAGAAGAACGAGCAAGAACGCTAGGGAACATCTATGAGAAATCTATGATACTTCGTCACCCAGTTAGATACCTTTACAGCTACCAGCCCCAGATAAATTACTCCACTAGTTTGTTATAATTATTAATACAAAGACTGGATCGTAGGATTTTTTCTGAGTGTTCAATCTTTGTATTAATAATTATAAGGTTATATTTTGTAGATTTTTTTATAAACTGTCACAGAGACGATCTTAGATTTTAGTGAAATCTAAAATGGTGGCACAGATGTCAATAGTAAACTTACGGAAGTCATCTGGTTCTCGACTTCAGCCGTCTGCCTCATCCCGTATTGGCACATGCCGACTAGGCCTATAACTTGTGTTATTGCTAGACCTACATTGCCGCCCATTGTACCTGGAGAAGAGATTATAAATTTAGTTACAGTAAAGATCATTGTGAAAGAGAAGTACTTGCCACCGGAAGTACTCGTCCAGGGAAGTACTTGCCACCTTATGTCTGCCGCCTAGAAGTAATGTGAGCATTACTGCATTTCAGTTTTGAAGAGTCAGGGTGAGGGTGAGGGTCAGGCACATGGGACTTCACAACTTATGTCTCAGGGTGGCTGACACAGTGAAAGTGCCGTAGTACTGTTATTTGTAGGGGCAGTCCCATATCATTCTACATAAGTTTTGTTTATAGTGCACCTCCCTATCAACCTCTTATGCGGGAAGGGCACTATGACCTGTGCGCGCACAGGAACCTTATAATGTTCAAGATCTGACCCCGGATCAGCCAGTGTACAGGGTTATCACAGATCTCTGTAAGTTGGCTTCATCCGGTTCTTCGAGAGGTTAGTTAGTGCCTTGGGTGAGCTGTCCCGGGTGCACGTACCGTACCGTACCGTATTTTCCAGATAGGTACCGGAGCTGTAGGCACGCTCACTTCCCGTTGCACATTGCACAACTAGCGGTTGCCACCGTTGAGCCGTCGACTCTGAGTCCACTACCAAATCTTCTCATTGGTGGCGGAGCTGTAAGTCACGCTCACTTCCCGACGCCGAATGAACGGCGCTCTCCAGTTCCCAGATTACGGCCGGAGGGACCGGAAGATGTCTAGCTCAACTAGCTCTCCTCCTCCATCCTCTACTAGCTCTCCGGGCTAGTGCCGGAGATGCCAGTTGGCAGTGTTCTGTGGCAATGTCCGGACATAGCCACAGACTTAAAGGGCAACTCACGGGCCCCGGGCGCCTCCTCGCCCCGGTCACACCCTACCGAGGCAGACGAACGTGTTCGTCCCTGCAGCTAACCACAAATCCCAGCGAGTCCATACCCAAGTCCGGGTCCGCCAGAGACGTCCGTGAAGACGTATAACTGGCGGAGGGCTTGGCCCGGACGCTCGCCGTACCCTGGTCTTGCCGTCGAGCCCGTAGCCTTTCCGGAAAACACTATCTCTCTGGTCGGTAGATAGGTACAATTGGCGACAACGGTGTCGCGAATTATCTCTCGAATTAGTATTCGTTTTGTAATATCAAGCATTAATAAAGAAGGATGCTGCCACTGCGTCCGTCACCCTGAGACATAAGTTGACAAGTCTCATTGTGCCTGTAATTTCATAAGCACCCTTAACCTTCCAAACCGGAACGTCGTAATGCTTGCATTACTGCTTGGCGGCAGAAATAGGTAAGATATGTATGAACATATAAGAATTGACAATTCAAATTAACCTGTGCCCAACATTTGAATGAACGATGACGTTTCAAATCAAACAAGTATAGCTATTTATTGCACAAGCGTGACGAATATTCAATAGTTCGATAGATAGAATATATCGCCTGCAAACACTAGCTGCTTGCTGCCGGCAACAAAAACACAAAAAAAACAGTACAGAGTACATAATAAAATAAATAAAGTTTGCCACCCTTAGAGGTGGAATAGTTTCTTCAAATTTAAATTGGACCACATCTGAGGTACCCTCCTTCCAAGAAAAAAGAATCATCAAACAAAAAAAAAAGGTTCTCATTATTGGAGTTATCGCGTAATATACATACAAAAAATGAACATACAGGCGAATTGAGAACCTCCTCCTTTTTTTAAAGTCGGTTAAAAAAGACAGACTAGAAAAGAGTAACCTATCACAAACTCGAATTTTGTTTCCGAAATAACGTTTGTTCGGATTTTCATTACACCGAAAACCGAATTATAACGAAACCGTTGTTCTTTTAGGATATGTTGGATGTTTATCGCAAAGACCCGATTAGGTTAGGTTAATTTAGGCTTAAACGAAAGAATGCGGCGCACCCATCGACACGGCGTGGCACACCCTGACGGAGTCCCTTGACTGCCATAGTGGGAGGAGATCTTTCGCTGCCTACAATCGTGGGCGCAATGCTCGACAGCGAGAGGTGCTGAGAGGCTATGGTATCTTTTTGCGAAAGCGTAATCTCGCAGAAGGAGGCTGCGGAGTACTCCAGAGAGGACGACCCCTTTTCTGACCCGCTTCGAAGACGTAGGCCGGGGAGACGAAGGAGGCAGTACGCCCGCCTTCTTCCCCCGCTGTAGGTTGGGGTCGGGGGACCCCTTCCACCAAGACTAAGGGTGCCCGGGGCACCCTACAAAAGACTGGGCCCGCTCCATGCGGGCCATCCGCCGAGATGTCCCAGTAGTATGCGCAAGCGGATCCTGGAGAGACGACTCTACAGCGGTGGAGTGAACCGCTGCCACCGCTGAACCGCGAGTCTCACATAGTCGCTCGATGCTCCCCCGAGCCGAGCGGTATGCGCAACGCATTTCCCAGCGACAAAAAGAAAAAGTTTAAAAGAAAAAACATTTCCTCTCAAAATTATTTTCGAGGTTATGAAAATTCGAGCAAAAGTTATTTCTGGAAAATGTCATTTCGGACTTCTGATAGGTAACCCTAAAAAAGTAATTTACTAAAATACAAACTTACCGTCAGCGAATAGAAAGAAGCTGAACGTTACAAACGCCAAATACAAGCAGCACACCATGTCCATCCAAAATCCAAACGCTCTATTCGTATTTAGTACAAGGCTCCATGACGAGCTATGAAGGTCCTGCAGTTTGTCGAACTCTCGGACCAGTGTGCGTTGCAGTTCCCGAGTGGAACGTATCGTCGTCAGTCCAGATACTGTAGCCGCACAGTGGTTTAGTGATTGGGAACGAGCTGGGGAAAAAAATTTGACGTTTAGTAGCGGTAGAGTCCATTGTGAAAGAGTTCGTCCCGGGAAGTGACCTATATCAGCCGTCAAGCAGTAATGCGAGCATTACTGTGTTCCGGTTTTCACTGACTGGAGGTTACGCGACAAGTGCCAACCGCTGAGTGTATCTCCGACAGTGCAAGCGCTCAGACAAGTCTTTCATTTACATTACAATCCTTGTACAACCCCAATATTTGGTTCCGCACGCGGCGGGCAACGTTCTTTCACCTCTCTGAGTGAGTGCTTAGTTTTATTAGTCAGATTTAATAGGCTATTATAGGGTAGGCACTTGGATTTTCGCGAAGCACTGCCCTCTTACCTATTTCTGCCGCCAAGCAGTAATGTCAGCATTACTGTGTTCCGGTTTTGAAGGGTAAGGGTGCTGGTGAAATTACGGGCACATGGGACTTTCTATGAAAAACTTTCTATTTTCTTTGGCATTGTGATAAAATATTATTTAAATGGTTTTGTGACATTTGTGTCGTATAAAAGGGAATTATGTCCTTGTAATTAAATTTTGAAATAATGAGCTTTTAGCAAATTAATGTGTAGTAATTTTAGTTCTCTGAGTAAACTAGTAATGCCATCTATGGGATGTTAGTGCAATTGTTGGAGTTGCTTCACTTTTATAATGAAATATATGACTAGATGTGATACTTTTAAGCAAAAAATATTTGTTGGACTTACACCACTTTTATAATGATCGACGCATTTATCAATAAAAGAATAAATCTGCATGAGAACAATCAAACTGCCTATACTAATCGTTCTAGAATTTTATCAAAATGATATTTTAAAAATAACAGCTGAGCAGACTTTTCCGCTTACAGTCTGTTTCTGGAAGGTTTGTAAATTATTCCAGCGTGCCTTTTAGGCATCGAGTAAATAACTAGAAATACAGACGAAATGTCATTTAATTTGATTAAAAACTATTATGCCAAATCATTACGGTGACAATTGCGCTCCGATTGGCCAGCTCGAATTCGAACCAAATGACGGGTGTCGTCAATTGTTTTACTTCAAATCGACCAGTTTAACTTGAGCTTTGCTATAATGGACGAAAATTGAAAAATTACATATTTAATTACCGATGAAATTATGGGCTGTGATTCCGTTTGTTTTGTAATAGATGTTTTGCTGTTTCTCCCACACCACCGAATGGAACATTAGTTAGAGACCACACCATTGTTAGAGATTATTATCTTTATTACTTACTATAAATACAGAAATTTTTTGTAATTTATGTCAAATGTACAACAGGTTACTTCATTGCTAAGTAGCAATTTTTTCTTTACAACAATATACGAAACCACTCACCAATTGCTTCAATTCGTTTCAATTCCCTACTAGTATTCAAAAATAAGCCTCTGAGTAAAAACAGCAACGTTGTGACCACCCCGGTCGGGAGCATCAGCCACCAGTTGATCAGGCACACAACGATTAGAATTGACACTACCTCTAGGAAGAACTGAAAAAAGGTATGTGAAACGAGGTTATTATTAAACTTTTTCGCCTTCTGCTTCCCATTTTTATAATAATAAACACACAGGCAGTAGAGCTCCTTGTGAAAGAGTTCGCCCAGGGAAGTACCGTGTGTGTACCACCTTACCTATTTCTGCCGCCAGGCAGTAATGTCACCATTACCGTGTTCCGGTTTTGAACGGTAAGGGTGTTGGTGAAATTACAGGCACGTGGGACTTGTCAACTTATGTCTCAGGCTGTCGGGCGCAGTGGCAGTGCCCCTTGGGTCTTTATAAAGCTCCGAGTGGCACTACAACTGTTATGGATAGGCGTGTTGCTTACCACCAGGCGCACGTCTTGTTCGTTCCGTCATTAGTTTTTTACAATCTTGAATTTCACATATTTTCAGTTACAACACTATTGTAATAGCAATCGCACTGCTATTACAATAGTGTTGTAACTGAAAATATATCGATATTATAATAAAAGAATTAGTTGTTTTTGTTGTAATGACCAACAACCAACCACAGACGACTTAATACGTTTTCATCTCGTACACAACTCCGCACAGCACATTCGCATAGATTCTTTTGCTTTCTTCATACATTTCAATATTTAGATGCATCCCACAATCGCAATCTTCGCTCAGACAGCAAATTCACTCTTTTAATTCCTCCTCACCGTACTGGTTTTCTTTCTAACTCATTTACTCTTCAGGCAATACGACTCTGGAACGCTCTACTTATTATAGTATTTATATTGAAAAAGCGCCGAATAAGCTAGCTTTCAAGCAATTAGTCCGCGATAACATATTGGAGTCTCAATCTACATCCCATTAGTCTGACATTGTTATATATAAATATGTATATTAAATACATATGTGTATGTATTATATATTATGTATTTATGTGTATATAGATTGCTTATATAAGTATATAGTTAGTCATATAATATTATGTGTTATATTTATATTGTGTTTAAACTACATATCATAATTATTCATGAACTTCTTCGTATCTGTTTTAATTATCATGTTATGCACCCCTGTTAATTATTTTAAGCTCTTAAGTTGACTGGTAGAGAATGCCTAATGGCATTAAGTCCGCCATTTGTACTGCAATTAAGTTGAAATAAGTAAATAAATACATTCCTTTACTTTAAATTAAATTCCACTTTGCATTATTTCGCCATAAATTGAATAGGATGTAAAAAGACCGTCAAATTCTGGCTTAAGAGTAAAACTTACAATGAAACAGAATAACTACCAATTCTTTAATTGTTGAATATAGAAAATCGGTTTTTAAACTGTAATATAAGGAAATTTGCACAAAAAGGATGCCCAAAATACAGGTATACATTTAGTTAGTTCAGTCATCGCTATTACACATTAGGTTCGCTTTACTATGAAGATTGTATAACTTAGGTTTCTTTTTATAATATCAAGTGACGGGACGAACAAGTCGTGAGCTTGATGGTAAGCTACACGTCTGTCCATAAAACTTGCAGTGCCACTCAGAGCTTTAAATCGCAAAGATCTGTGGGGCACTGCCACTGTGCCCGTCACCCTGAGACGTAAGCTGACAAGTCTCAAGTGCCTGTAATTTCACCAGCACCCTTACCCTTCAAAACCGGAACACAGTAACGCTGACATTACTGCTTGGCGGCAAAAATAGGTAAGGTGTACTTCCCTGGACGAACCCTTTCACAAGGAGCTCTGCTGCTACTAATATTTAGGTTCCTTTCTTATTTTAACACTATAATAGCTTTATGTCTTGTATTAGATTAAGTTATATTGAAGTAAATTTATCTTTATCTTTAATGGGATATTTGGGATAACAATAACTTACCCCTAAACAATCGACTAGAGCAACTGGCAATAGTGTGTCGACTTGCCCCATGTCCTTTGAGAACCTGTTCAATATTCTGCCTGAAGGGTTGTGGTGGAAGAACCACATCGGTGCGTTTGTTACGCCTCTATAGAAGAAAAAAAAGTTTTGTAACTATAACACGATTATCCGAACATTTAGTTCCATCGCGTACTGCTAGATGGCGTTAGTAGCAGGGTTTGAAATTAACAAGATATCTACTTTTAACCGAATTCAAAAAAAGGAGGAGGTTATCAAGTCGACTGTATGTATTTTTGTATGTATGTTACGCGATAACTCGCCGATTTGTCAACCAATTTTGATGATTCTTTTTTGTTGGAAAGAGGGTACTTTAAATTTGAAGAAAATAATCCACTTCTAATGGTGGCAAGCTAGGAGATGAATTAATTTTGAGTTCGGTTTTTTGGTACTCTGTACTGAGATTATCTTTGATAATTATCCGATATACGTCCGATAATTATCTATGCTGATCTATAGTTTGATCTCTTTAATTTTTGACTAAAAATGACAATGAAAAACGATTTGGTTAGTGATTTTTTTTTAAGACTGACATTTGACATGTTTGGAAATGTCTCTGATACAACAAACACATGACACGACATTGCTAGCGGTAGCATTTTATTGATTCGATTAATTTTATAAGTGAGTTAAAAAAATATAATAAGGTGCATACAAACCTGAACATATTATTATGTAGCCTCGTTGAAGCCCTAATGCACATGCTGTAGAAGACAACTAACTTTTGACAAGTGAAGACAACGCATATAGCTATGAGGCCTCCGTATATGTACACGCATTGCTCGCGTGTCAGACCGAACTTATTAGAGGGGAGGTTCTCGAACTCTGTAAAGAGAAAAAATACAAAATTATTTATTGAATATCGATTTCTTAGGTTTTCGCGATTGTTACACATAGGAAATGAAACTATTTTTCCGGATTTAAATCGCGTATATTTGTTTTTTCAAAAAAACCGACGTTTCGGGCCCTTTACAGGTCTCATGGTCACGGTTGACTGAGTTGGTACATTCTTCAACCAGTTATGTCTAATATTAATGCAAACCACCCTATTTTTTCCACTACTACATACGCGACACTACAACTACAACAACAAATATACGCGATTTAAATCCGGAAAAAAAAATTATTGAAGTTAAACTATTTGATGTTATTATTGAAGGTATTCTGCAAGATAAATAGAATAGAATAGAATTGATTTATTACAATGCCACTTCACAGAAATATACAGAAAGAAATAAAAAAACACAAAGCAAAAGTAAAAAAGAAAATAACAAAAGTAAAAACTTAGCAAACATATTATATTTTTAACGGTCAACTCAATTGAAAGAAACGTCATGTGTACGACTATGGCGTATGGAATAGGATCCACTCAACTAATGTCACCGCCGAGTAAAGACTGCATCGAGTATATAACCAGAAATACACACGAAATATAGGCCATCCATCCCTGGCAACTCATCACGCAAATGGGACTTATATCACTTTTAAATATCAACTCTCGTTTGCGCTGAAATCACAAATTAGAAAGCTGAAATAGTACAGTGCCAGCAACTGACCAATACCTTCTGTATTTATTGTAATAAAGATAATATCTCTAACAATGCCGTGCTGTTCTATTCGGTGGTCTGGGAAAACAGCAAAACATCTAATTACAAATAAACGGAATCACATTTCATCGGTAATTATATATTAAATATATAATTCTGCAATATTCATCCATTATAGCATAACTCAAGTTAAACTCGACTTGAAATGAAACAATGGACGAATCCCGTCAATTGTTTCGAATTCGAGCTGGCCAATCGGAGCGCAGTTGCCATTGTAATGATTTAGCAGAATAGTTTACAAACAAATTAAATGATCGTCTCTATTTCTGGTTATAACATACTCGATGAAAGACTGACGCAGATTTTCAGTGGTTTAGGGTCCACTGAATGAGTACCGGAAGCGTGTGCATGTTCCAACGTCGACCTTATCGACAAAAAAGGAGGAGGTTCTTAATCCGTCTGTATTTTTTTTGCATATATGTTAACTGCCTCTATGGACGAATGGTTACCAAGCTGGAGTGCCACGAAGAGCTCCCAGGTTCGATTGCCAAGTTCAATAGCTTCAATGGGCCCTAGCCGAGTGAGTGACATACGTATGCGAGAAATAACTGTATGGCCTTCACATTTATTTCTCTCGTGAGTTTGGGTGTAATTTGTCCATGGCAGCCGCGGCACAGGGTTTCCGTAGTGCGGGGCTATGAGTGTGCGCGTTATATATGATAACTCCAGCATTTGTGAACCGATTTTGATGATTCTTTTTTTGCTGGAAAAAGGGTCTCAGTATTGGTCCTTATTAAATTTGAAGAAAATATACCATCTCTAAGGGTGGCAAATTAGGGTATGAATCCGGTTTCGCGCACTTTCCGGTAACCGATTTCAATAAAACTTGGCAAATAGATGTAACTCCACGAACTTTTGAGGCCAGTATTTTTTTCATAAAAAGTTATGATTATTAATAAAAACAAAATAAAAAAATAAATACAAAGGTCGACCTAAGAAACACAAAGAAAAATTCATTCGATTCTGCCGGATTCAAACCAACTGCTTGCCAGACCAGACCTCCCGACTGAGACCCGTTCCAAGCAGTAGATTGTATAAACGGGTGATGATGATGAAAACCTCCTCTCTCCAAATACGATTTACAGTGCATTACAGGGTCCATAACACGCTGTTAACTTTTCGTTAAGCCTTTTCCATCTTATGTAACATTAAGAGTATAAATATACAACCTCAAATGATTTTGGTTGATTCTGTAAACAGTGAAAGTGTAGAATCAATAACTTTGGAAAAAATATAAAGTAAAATAGAGGATACATACGGATTATTACTATAAGATGTGATAACACGATTTCTAAAAATTTTCAAGATAGAAAAAAACCACAAACCTACCTCGATACATATACCAATCTTTTACATATACCATTTTTTTTATATATCATCTGAACTAAATAGAACACGTAAGTATACGATTTACATTCTTCAAATGGCTGTAATATCGTTTGAAAAAAAAATCTGAAACAAAGCCAGTGGACCCTGCCGCTCGACCCGACCAAATGATCCACATTATAGTCGTCACCAAATAAGAGGCCAAATTTGACAGCTAAAGTAGGCGGTAGTACGTAACTTAGAATGCGATCAACGAAACAATAAACAAAAAAATATTTGCATAATTGAGTTTAAAAAAATACATAAATTTTATTGAAACATTATATGACAAAAAGATTATTTTAAAAAAAAGATGACTATTTTTTTTAATAATAGTAATAATAATTTAAATTTCACCAAGTCACTTCGATTTCTTGGAAAAAAATATTGACTTATTAAATATTAAAACTATAATATTATATAAAAATAGGTGTGTATTAAAAAATTATTTATATTACATTTCTGACTATTGCATATAAATTTATAATTTACAACTTCCAACTTATTATTCCCAGCCAAATAATTTAAATTTTATGAAATCCTTGGTTTCTTGGTAATTTAATCTTTCTATGTAGTTGTTTTATCGATGAATATACTTATTTACACTAAATTTTCGTAATAAACCATTTATGAATATTCATCAAAATTAAAAGAATTGGATACAATTCATCGGAATGTGGGACAATTTTACGAAAATAAGAGGACTGGCTACAGAATTGCAAGGAAATCTGTAAATGAATTACTTTTAACAGAATAGCACGATTTGGCCTTGAACAAGAATGAACCGAAAAATAATCTAAGCAATCACAATCCCTCAAAACTTTGTATCGATTTCTGAAAACCGTATAATCTGATATGATTAGTCCACATCCCTATTCGCGTCACGATGACAAGTGTCAAATTTGGCCTCTTATTCGGTGACGATTATAGTACGTGAAAAAATTGAATCCGAGCTGAGGTAGTATCAACTCTTAGGTCAATGCAATAGAGAATTCAATTGAATTAAACGTACCTAAAAGTGTCGAGTAACATTTGACAATGAAGATAAATTACCTGGTGGTACTACGGAGGCGTTCGTCGCTGCGGCGGCCGCTGCACTGTTCGCCTCTTCTATGTTTACCCTGGAACAGATTAGCTAGTTATTTTTAATACTAGTTAGTTATCGCCTACCGATTAAGTCAGTCAGTTCCCAAAGTAGCTACGCGATGCGGGAGGGGTGACAGTTTACTTAACTGTTATGTCGCACTCCACGTGGGATAATTTCAACGAGATTTTTCTGACGATGTTCAATAGCAAGTTGATGGAAAAAGCGCCCACCAAATTAGTTTTAGCAGCAGTAGAGTTCGTTGTGAAAGAGTTCGTCCAGGGAAGTACTGCCACCTTGCTTATATCTGCCGCCAAGCAGTAATGTTAGCATTACTGCGTTCCGGTTTTGAAGGGTGAAGGTGCTGGTGAAATTACAGGCACATGGGACTTGTCAACTTATGTCACAGGGCGACGGGCGCAGTGGCAATGCCCCTCAGACCTTTGTGATTTACAGCCTTGAGTGCACTGCAACTGTTATGAACAGGTGTGTAATTTACCATCAGGCGCACGATTCGTTCGTATCCGTCAAAAAATAGTCAAATGATGTTATGAGAAAATCATTGATAATTGAAATGAATAGACAAGCCATTTCGTCGCCTTAATTTTGCAGGCTGATTACACGTCACATTTCCTTCATATTTACACACTGGTTTTTACTTATTCTTAAAGATTACTTTCATCCAAATTAACACCCTTGACAAAAATTTTAAAATAAATAGAAAGTTTTGCCATCTCCTCATAATCGCAGTATATAATATCCGAGTTTGAAAAAAGATCATCTTGTTATTTAATATCGTCAGAGAAATCTTGTTGAAATAATCACGTGTGCAGCGCGACATAATGTACGCGACGTAATGTTTAAGATTGGCAGTAAACGTACTCAAATAACTTTTTCTTTGCCATGTACCACTAACAATGTCTCATATAATGATCCTATTTTTCGCATGTTTAGAGCTCATAACAACTTTTCTAAAGATTTGGACTTATTCTCCCATAGTCGCTATACTTATTTAAATATTTGTAAGGAGAAGCTGAATATGTTGGATATTTAAGAATCTCATGTTTTTATATATGTGTAACATGATTTTTTGCTATTGTTTTTAAGTGCAAATTTTAATTTTTTTTTATATTATGTTTAATAACCTGTTAATTTGTAAGTACTTATTTATTATGCAAATGCCGTGCGTGGCTGTCATAGGAATACAAATTTACTCCTATTATAATGCATGTTAACTTTAAGCGTCTTCACAGTTTGTATTCTGTAGCTATGCCAAAAATAAATAAATAAATAAATAAATAAATAAATAAATAAATAAATAACTTTTACGTAAACTGTCACTCTACGCAGCTACGTCAGGAACCGACACAATTAAGCATTACGCCTGTACATTGTAAAACTCCTGCCTACATTAGTGTAACTTACCATTCTTTAAGCCAAATATCCGCACTGGAATAAAATATCTGCGCGGCAATGAACAAACCGAAAAGTAATGCCATTGTAAGACTGTTGCCTCCACTTTTGATGTATGACATGTAAACGCTGTTGTCCACTGATCCCTTGTTTTGAGTTTCACCTGTGAATGATAAAGTACAATAGCATAGGCCGGAAAGTTTCACCTGTGAATGATAAAGTACAATAGCATAGGCCGGAAAGTTTCACCTGTGAATGATAAAGTACAATAGCATAGGCCGGAAAGT